ATGCATAGAATATTTGAATACATATAGCTACTATTTTTATGGAACTACTCTATCACAAATATTGTTAAAAATGTATTATAGAAATAAGAAAAAATTTATTTGACCTAAAGTTGTTTTTATTACAAGTGTAGAAATGTTGCTTTTGGATTTTAGCATCTGAAACATTGGATTTTTTCAGTATGAAAAGTAAAGTGATCTATTTTCTTTTTTCCTCTTCTTTTTTTTTTTTACTACAAAATGCATTTAGTTATTAGACAGAATCACAAGTAATGGCCCATTTCAGAAATGAGTTATTTTTTTGCAAATGAACAGTAATGTGATTTTGTATTAATTAATGTAGACTCAATTCATCCATCCTTCCTTATTGTTGTTTTGGGAAACTCTCTTTTGAAAAGAGCTTTTTACATGTTAAGAATATTTGTGGTGTTTTGGGAACCTCTCTAAGGCTTTTTTTGAATATTTGTCTTAGCAGTTTTTTTTTTCTTCAAATGCTAAATTGTTTCTCCTAACATTAGCTGTATTGTGGCCCAATTGAAAATAAACCTGCAAAAAGTTGTCATGCTTGCTTTTAAGTGTGATGGGGAACAGTGTTGTGATGTAAGCAAAGAGTCTGTTGAGATTTGGTGGAGAAACAGCTGATTACTCTCCCAGCAATTATGGGGGTAATATGCAAAGAAAGGAGAAATAATCGGGAGGTAACAAAAATAACAAAGACCTGGATCTTGACCAGTTGCAGAGAGGCCCATATCTAGACATGCCAAACTGTCCTGCTGCTAACAAGGAAAAAAACTGATGTAATTGTTGACGAACATGTCTGCATGCAATTCGAGACCTTTTGCATCTGTACTGATGTGCATTTGCCACAATCAGTTTTTAAAAAAAAAAAAAAAAAAAAAAAAGTAATCTGAAAAGCGACATCCAACACTATAATGGCTGGATTTATAATCCCAAGTAATACAATACCATAGATATTTATTTTATTTTTGTCTGCAAATACCTTTGTGTTTAGTGATTTCAACACTCTTTTGTCAAGTGGCTTCATCACTCCTGATGCGTCTGACCATGCCAGTCTCCAGACTTTTAAATTTTCAGTTGCTCAATCTCTCAGTCAAATAGATTTCCCTATTCTTTCCTCTATTAATTTTGACCAACCTGCTTCTTCACTTGATTTGTCTCTTACCTCTTCTTCAGACATTTGTCATGCTTTACAATTCTGTCCTATTAGCAATTCCGATCATGCTGTAGTGTCTGTTGATACTTGTTTTCACTTATCTATTCGGCAAGAACTCCCTATTAACAAGACATCATTTTGTTATCAGTACCTTGCTTGGGATTCATTATGCAATTTTCTTTGGAATGCCTCTTTGGAATGAAATTTTCCATTTGAAAATTGTGCCACTGGGGCTGCTTTTTGTGTGAAATCCAGCATCAATGCTTTCATGCTATTTTGGAAATACTGAATAAAGCTTCAATCTTCTTGGTTCATTCTTGCCTGTTTAGCCTCTATAGCCCACAAGAATCTCTTCTTCCCGTGACACTAATGTAATAGTTCAGATCATAATAGACATCTCTTTGCCTCTGCTTGTAATAATTGTAAATGTATTCTCAATGAGGCTAAGTTGCTGTTCACTAATAGTGAAAATCCATATAGCCTCACACAAGTTTGGTTCTCATGATTATTAGCAGCTTTGTCATGATGTATTAAGCAAGGTTAAGTTCTCAATCTCTCTTCGCTTCAATCAGTTTAAAGTTTTGCCATCTACTACAAATAAAGCAGAATGCTTTGTTCATAAATTCTCTTCCAATTCTACATCGGGAGTATTTTTGTCTGATTTTCAATCTAGAATATATAGTCTGTGGTTTCTGCTATCCTCTCCAAACTAGACCCCCCACCCCCCGCAAGGCATTCGTACTTGGTGGTATCTGTGCAATTGTTCTAAAGAAATGTGTACTGAACTAGCTCCTGTTTTCACTCTATAACTTGCTGCTGCTTGCTTTCCAGCTTCTTGGAAATCCTCTTTTGTAGTTCTTGTTTTTAAGAACTCTGGTGAACTGTCTGATCCTTAGAATTACCAACCTATTAGTCTTCTACCTCACTTTGACAAAGTATGAGAGGCTCTAATTAACTCTGAATTGTTTAAACATTTCACTTTACACGGCCTTCTTTCAGATAAACAATATGGCTCACTTTAGTTAAACTGCTGATGTGTCAACAGCTGTTACTGAAAGCTTTTGATAAGGCTGATGCTGTGTCTTTAGATATCTTAAAGACATTTGACAGGGTTTGGCATGCTGGTTTTCTTCACAAGTTGAAGGGTTATGGTGTCTCCAGACCAATTTGATTTGATTCAATCTTAACAAATTGTGTAATGAAAGTCATGTTGAATGGCCATGCTTCTAGATCCTATCACATTAATGTGAGTGGGGGAGTTGACCAGGGCTCTATCTTTGGGCCTACTTTGTTTCTTATCTTCATCAATGACCTTCCCCGATGTCATCAGTTCCTGACTTGCTATCTATGCAGATGACACTATTTACTACTGATTTAATTGTAAGTCTGATAAGTGAGACAAAGTAAAACTGGCAGCTGTTCTCGAAAATGAGATTCAATCTATTATTAACTGAGGTAAAAATATGGCTTGTGAATTTTAACACCTCCAAAACAAAACTTGTTTTTTAGTCCTTTTTTGCCTTCCATCACCATGGCTGTCATCAACCTCCAGGAGATCAAATCCTTACACCTTTTTGGTCTCTCGTTTTCCACTGACATGAAGTGGAATGATTATACTGAATAAATTGCTGCCAGCTGCTAGGAAAGTTGGTTCACTTTGTTGTGCCAGACAATATTACTTTTCTTGACAGAATCTGTCTGTTTATCTACCTAACTGCCTATCTATCTTTGAACATTGCTGCCACATCTAGTCTGGTGCTCCTGCTATATATATATTGAGATTCTTGAAAAAATCGAAAGAAGGGTCTATAATGTTATTGATCCTGGCCTGGCATCTCTGCTTTAGTCATTTTCCCTGTACCTTTTCTATAAATATTTTTATGGCAATTGTTCTAATTAACTTTCCTCTTTGGTACCTCAACATCGTGAATGTAAGCATAGTTCTAGATTGGCAACTAAGTTTCATTAATTTACTTTTGAAATAGCTAGATGTAAACATAAGTTCTATGTTAATAGTTTATTCTCTTGCACTTCTCACCTGTGAAACTCTTTTGGTTTGCTTTCCTGTCAATGGTGATATTCAAAAATGCAACATCAGTTGCCATTTTTTGTCTTTTTGAATCTTTTATTGGCCTTTCTCCTTACTAATGTTTTCTCATTTTTTTTTTTTTACTCCTAGTAACTCGTGTCTTAGTGGCATTATTGCCTTGCTTGGGCTGAAATGATTTAAAAGAAGAAAAAAATGCAATCAATCTTGACAACATCAGATCATGAATTGTCATAAATCTGATATTTTATTCACTACAACTTAATGTTAATATGTGGTATTGGTTGTTGTTGTTGTTTTTTTTTTGTTTTTTTTCATCAGTTTAATCTGTGGGACCAGAGAGCTTTCTTTTAACTAGTGGCATGAGTATTCACCATGCTTAGTCTGGCACAAGGCCATATAAATAGGCTGCTGTGAAAGTCAAATTTGCAACACTAGCAAATTGGTCTGTGATATGTACTTGCTAACTATTGTCCCACAGTAGGTGCCCATTATGACTAAGTGGTATGTACACTTACTGAGGCAGGAAATAGAAACCAGTTACAATGACATCTCTACTGAGATAATTGCCACTTCCTGGACAACTTTTTAGTATTAGACTTATTTATGTGTCCTGTGCTTGTACAGCATTAAAATCATCAAGTGTCATAAAATTTCTTTTCTCACACTGATATTAATGATAAAAATTATAACTGATAAGTGTTTTTTATGGAAATTCAGGTTTAGCTGCCATATAAGACAATTTAGTAATGAAAAAAACATCCTAACACTCACTTTACTTTGAAATTTTTACAGTAATCACTTGTGTATTATTCTGTAACACAAATTTATTATAAAATAGTATAAATTAAATATAATTAAACAATGGAGTATGTTATTTTTACTGCTAACATAACAGCCATTAATTTTCTTAGTAATAACACATTCAAACCAAAACTCTTATTATTTGTCCTGATCTGTCATCTCAGCATCTGTCACTTACCTACTGACACAATGTAGCTTCCATGTGCCTTTTCTATAAATATTTTCATGGCAATTGTTCTGATGAGTTTTTCTCTTTGGTACTTCAATTTTATGAATTTAAGTGCAGTACTAGATTGGCAGCAAGGTCTCATCATTTTACAGTTGAAATATCTATATGTAACTGTAAGTTCTATGCTAACAGTTTATCCTCTTGCACTTTATGCTTGTGGAACCCTCTTCCGGGTTCTTGCTTTCCAGTCAACTTTGATCTTCAAAAATTTAAGTGCATGGTTAATTGTTATCTTCTGTTTTATTAATGCCAATTCTTTTATTGTTCTCTCTCCTTAATATTTTCTTCTTCTCATATTCTTACACTTAGTACACCGCCATGTCTTAGTGGCTTTATTGCTTTGCTTGGGGATGAAATGATTGAAAAAAAAAAAAACCCCAAAAAACGAATGTCCTGTTTATTTCACTCAAATAAAATAGTATTTATGATGCTTGTATTGTATTGCAATTGTCTTGGTCCCTTACAGTTGGTTGAATTAGTTAAGTATGAGTTTTAGTAGGAAATCTCTGTATTATCCTGTTAGTGTTTGAATAAGTGGGTACAGTGAATAGTAGGCATGCATGACCACTTGTTTATAACTTTATAGTAAAAGCTCACATTTTAAAATATATATATATATATATAATACCTGACTTGAAAGTACTGCAACTTACAAGAAACTCCATCTACTATAAGATAATAACAAAGCATGACCAACTAAAATATTGAAAAATCTTGTAAAATCTTTGTTCAATCTTTTGCTGTTTCAGCCTTCTGAAGACAATGGAAATTCAAGATGCTGAAAAGCAGCAGCAGCAATCGCAAGCGCAACAGGCTCAGCCACAATTCACATGGGAAGCATGTAACACTACTTTTGCATACCCAGCCATTCTTCAGGAGGCTGTTACGACAGCCACAACAACCACCTCAACTTCCGTGCCAACAACAATGACTACTATCGCTGTTTCGGCTGCCACTGTTGTGGCCGCTGCTGCAGCAGCTGCCAATCAAGGGGTTGTGGTCACCACTGATGGTACAAACACTGGGGAAAGTGTGGTTGATCCCCAACAACAGCAGCAGCCTCCACCCCAGCCACAACCCCAGCAACAGCAACAACACCACCGTCCTTTTGAATGTGAGTTTTGTAAAAAGACTTTCTCGAAGAATTCTAATCTTACATCCCACCGGCGTTTACATACAGGTGAGCGCCCATTCGCCTGTGAGTTCTGTAAGAAGACATTTGCAAAATCTTGGAACCTGACATCTCATCGGCGTATTCACACGGGTGAAAGGCCTTACCATTGTGAAACATGCCACAAAGCTTTTGCAAAGTCTTGGAATCTCACCAACCACAGACGGACACACACAGGTAATTATTTGCTAACATTTATTTTACTGTCTTCAAAGAGAGCTTTTAGATTGTCTCTTGGTTTTTTGGTTTGACTTGTTTACTTTGCCTCAAAAGCTAATTTTCTCTTTTGAAAAGAGATTGGTAAATGCAGAGATAGGTAACTAAAAAAGGTTATTCCTCTACTTATTCAAAGATATTTATTATAGAGAATAATGATCACCAGTATAAAACTGAGCTTTTTTTTGTTTTTCTTTACATTTAAGGACTAAATCCAACTTGCAACACCTGCTAAATTATCAAATGAGAAACTTATGAACAGCCTATCCTAAAAATATTTCCAAGTTTAGCTTTAGGCAAGTTTCTTATCCAAACTGATACCTTCGTGTGTAGATACATTATAAATATATGTATATTATTTTTAGTGAGTGGATGCCTGTATTGAGTAGAACGTCCTGTTTTTTTAAACAGTGTTTATTTCATCTACTGGCCTGCACATCCTTGAAAACTTAATAAAGAAGATGTGTGGTCAACCCTCCAGCCCCACCCCTTGCATCCCCCTTCAAATCCTGCTGGAGGGCACATTTACTTATTTTTTCTCAAATCCGAAATAAACACAGTTTAGAATATGGGATTGCCTACTCAAATACTGGAGTCCACTAAAAATATTGTTTGAAGTAATGAAAATATTGGATTAAAATTGGATTAAAAATTCATTAACTCTTTATAATTTGCTATATATATATATATATATATATATATATAACATATATATATATATATATATATATATATATATATATATATATATATATATATATATATATATATATATATATATATATATATATATATATATATATATATATATATATATATATATATATATATATATATATATATATATATATATATATATATATATATATATATATATATATATATATATAATATATATATATATATATATATATATATATATATATATATATATAATATATATATAAATATATATATATATATATATATATATATATATATATAAATATATATAATATATAAACAAATATACTATAATACCATATATATAAATATATATATATATATATATATATATATATATATATATAATATATATATATATATAATGTAGCATTAAAACAAAGTATTTTGGCAAGCATTATTTTTATATAATAAAAAATCAAGTGTTCATCTAAACGGCCATGCACTATTCTTCCCAATGGCTGCATGCAATAGTGCATATAAAATGTCAGATGTGGCCAGTCTGACTAATATATAGAATTATTTTCTTTTTAATACATCCCATGATGATATTTATTAGATTTTATAGACATTTCCATAACCACCTTATGATGGGGTAATGGTTAACAAGTCTACTGGCTGAGTAGTGAGTCTGGCCCTTACTGGATGCCTCCTTACAGAATTCAACATTAAATAACCTGAGTTGATGTATCTTAAAATCAATCAACCTAACCATAGCCTATTACAACAAAGAGACAGTAGTGGGCCACTTCTTGCACTAATTACTCTTTTGCTAGATGAGCTTATTAACCATCGCCCTAAGAGTCATTATTATATTTTATTAGAATCTTGGACAACTTGTACATGATACAACTTCACATATGGGGGCAATATATAAAACTATCATCAGGTTATTATCCAAAGATTATTAGAAAACCTAAAATATTGTCTATACCAACATGGAAGCAAAATTTCAAAAACCTATTTAAGGTGGAGAGAATACATGGATTTACAATTCAGGCCATTTTAAATTGTTCAGTTAATGGCTAAAATTAGAATATTTTTCATGCTTGTTTGAGACAGTACAGTACTTAGTGAGGATTGAACTCTTTACGCTGTAAGACCAGATTGTTATCCATTGCTCTACAATAGGTATCAAATCTTGCAATTAAGTAATAATAATTGCCCATTAACCAGATAGTTTTTAAAAGGCTAGAAGAAAATTATGGTTTCACAAATTGATTTTTGCACCTACACCTTAACAGGTATTAAATTTTATCAGTTTCATTAAAAAAAAAAAAAATTGTCCTACCTGATATTTGAATTGTCATCAATTTTTCTTTTTTCCATACCACCAGAATTATTTATTCTTTTTGTAGTACAGAAAATGATTAAGGTGAGTGGTGGTAAAATCAGTGATGAAAATTTGTTGATATATACTTGGGATTCAAATCTGGTTGACTCTAAAATACTACCATTATTACTGAAACTGCTATTTTGTGTGTGTGTGTGTGTGTGTGTGTGTGTGTGTGTTTTTAAAAAAATATGTATTGTGAAATGGAAATTACCATCTTTTGAAACGAAAACCTAAATCTTAAATTAAACTTAAAATTTAACGTTCATTTCCATTTTCAAGCAATGCAGAATAACCTTTGAAAAAAACGATTTACTCTATTTATAAACCAAATAGTATTATATATTTTAAGTTGGTTTAAGTTACTTGATATTATTGAAGGAAGTCAGATGTTGGCTCTATCTTAATTTAAATTCCTTTTTAGTAGAGCCAGTAAAAAAAAAATTTGCAATATTAGGATAGATGGGATAGTGCATTGGTTATATATATATATATATATATATATATATATATATATATATATATATATAAGGATATTACACTGAAAACATGTAAAATCGCTACACAATTGCAGTCGTGTTTCAATGCATCTCATCAGGTGATTGTAAATTACTGGTGAGTGAACAATTTATTTATTTTTGCTTTTAAGCAAAATACAACCTCTTTTTACAAAAAAAAAAAAAAAGGGGGCAATAAGGTTTGATAAACCAATCAAGTATGACCTATGTTAAATTTAAACTAAGATGCAAAAATTAAAAATTATTTTTTATAAATGGGTCATGACCCATAGATTGGCAGCTAATGGCAGCCATGCATAAACTAAAGCGGATATATATATAGTTACATAAATTAGACAAACTAGACAATGCAGTTTCCCAAGAAATAAAAGTGGGGTGGAGAGGTAATTTAACAAAATGCTAAACAAGTTATATGCTTTGTGAATTTCCTACATAATTTTTTTTTTTTTTAGTTGACAAATAAATATCTTCCTTAAAAAAACTAGTAAATAATTTAAATATATAGAATTATTTGGTAAATTAATATGCAACTATGTAGTGATTTTTACATGTTTTCGGTGTAATATCCTAAAATAAATAATATTGCTCTACTCTGTATTGAACTTCTTTTAAATTAAATGTTATGAACGTTGGAATTGTACTCTACTCATTCCCATTGTACCTGGGAGGAGATATAATCTGAACAAAAAAATTTGACAATATTGGTTAATAAAATCTCTTCATATTATTTACATAAACAGTTATTGTAAGCTGCGGTAAATATGAAATTTAGTTGAAATATTTGTCATGTTTTAAGGTTTTTTGTTTTGTTTCTTTTTTTTTTTTATTACCTCTGTGTAGTATGCTGTCAACAAAAATATAGATTTGAGTTTACTCAACTAGTCTGTTCTATCTAATTGCAGTCAATATCTTAGTGTCACAAACTCTGCAATCCTTTCATTGGCTGCATACAGTTTTTACTTTTCATAGACTGGTTACCAACCATGACTAGAGAGCCCAGTCCTCTCTACTTTTTATTCCATGGCTGAGGGGAGAAAATGGATTCAAACCTTTCCCAAGGCTATTTGTATGAAAATGAATCTGAATTCAGCTCACTGATTTCTCATTCCTAACCACTGATCATTACTGAACGTTCTTGACAGTAATAACTCATTAATACAGTTACATGTATTTGATTGACAAATATAATTCCACCTGTATATTTTAGTATTTGTATTGCTGTATATCATGAATGAACATTGGTATTAACTAACATTTTTTTTTTTTTCTTTCTACCAATTGTAATCAAAATGTTTTAGGTATGGAATTAGATTTAGAAAATTATAGTATTTTTAAAAGTAAAATGCAATTCTATCTTTCATAAATATTAAACATTGTCCACTTTGCTTCAGAAATGTCTATTAGATTTATTTTGGGACAACTGGTGTGTGTACCCATACTGTCAAAAAAAAAAAGATGGTAATATTTAAGTAATTTTGCCAAAAATTAGATAGCTATCTCCCTTTGCTTGAATAATGGCAGCTATAAATGAGGTATTTAGTTTACAAAGTGCAGAAGTCATTGGGTGGTTACCATCCTCGTCAGTTGCTAGCAACCACCTTCTTTCATCATGTGAGAATCCACAATTTCTCATGTTGCTTGTGTTTGTCCAGTATTCATACATTCATAGTATATCCTTGAAATTATTGCTTGAGGAAAAACTTGGGGCATTTGATACCTCTATCCTTTTGGTATCAACAATAATTCCATAGACAAACTATATTAAAACCGGTTCACATTTCATGTTTGCTACAGTTACACTACCTTTTTTACCTATCTGCGTACTGTTGTTTCTAATTTTTTAGTACTTGGGTTTGAACACACAAACTTTCTTTTTTACAAAATAAATCTAGTATCTATATATACTGTCAGATTTTATCTCAATAAAATTGATATTAACTGTTGGCAAAATTTTCAGGATCAAATCATATAATAATTATCAATGTGTATTTATATATTTCCTGTCTCATTTGATAAAGAGAGATAACTTTATATTTTTTTTTATAAAGGGAGATAACAATATTTTCTTTAACATTAGATAATATCAAGAATTTTGTCATCCACCATCAAATCAAACAATATAATAATTATCAATGTGTATTTATCTATATATTTCCTGTCCCATCTGAGGACCTCATAAGACAAACTAAAATACAAGTGGTAACAATTACTTTCAAACAAATATCGCTGTTTTATTAATGTTGCCACAGAAAATGCATCCATCACTATATATTTTATCTGAATAATTATGGTATCCTAAATTCAACACCCTTTACCTTCTAAATATATAATTGAATAAATATAAGAGATAAATTTAGTAATAATATTGTAGGTGTAATTACAAGTTC